CTAGAAGAGAATGAAGTATTTTCTAATAATGTCAGTGAAGCCTTTGGAGTTTGGTTTTTTTGTTCGGTTGTTTGGTTTTTTTACCAAGAGGTAAGGCTGAAAGAAATTGGAAGCAGCATTGATTGGGCTGAGTACAAGCCTAGTGTAATGTCAGCCTTGTGCTTATGCTGTATTTTTCAGAGGGTAGAAGGTTGTTTTTTGCAAACCTTTCCATTGTTCTATTTTTAAAGCTCTTGTTAAGCAAACATTTCAATGGAAGGAATCGCTGACTTGTGTGTTGTTAATATTGGGGTATTAAATTTAAACGCATAGAGTGCAATTCCTTAAACTGCAGTAGTGAAAACACTATTGGATACCCCAGTTATTCAGTGGGTTCAGCTTTTATTTAAAGAAAGGGTTTGGTAGTGCAAAAAAGGGGTGAAAAAATTAAAAACATGACTCAAGTGATTTTAAACTTGAAGCATCTGAAACAATAGCCCTGCAATGCTGTCCCTGTCATTTCAGTGGCTTCCAGCACAGTTGCCAATGTTGGTGCTCCAGATTGTCTCAAGTTAACTCTTTTGCCATTCATTACAGCAGGAAAGAAGGAATAAAAAGAGTTGCCTGTTAGGGAAATCTTAAAAAGTCTGAGCAGCTCACCAGTCAGTTGGGAGAGAAAAGGCCCCCTGCAGATGTGCAGTAACTTGGCTCAAATGTTTGTAGCAAAATTGCATCTTAGTTATTGAATACTTGCTAAAATTGTTTAGGCAAGTGAGGAATCATGACTTTTCAGTGAAGTAGTGAACATGCATGATGAAATGCATTTGAATTTGATTAAAATACCAAAGGAAAACAAGGGTTCTAAGAAGACATAGAAAGTATAGTGGGGAAATGAATGAGGGACCTTGCTTGGTTTTCCTAAAAAGGAATCAGCGTGGAGAAAGTGGACTTATTCCCAAGTTAGGGAAATGCTGCTAAAATTGACAAGTAAGTGACAACTAAGTGAACAACTTGTTGCTTAAGAGCAGCTGGCTTCAAGAGAGAAATGCAGTAAGCAGATTTAATAGTGCTCTGCCACTGAAAGAAGGAGAATCCGGCTCTTCCATCCATTTCTGTTCCCAGTGTGTACTTTGTCCTGCCATTTGCACTTTTTGGACCCCTCTGCAAGCTGCTTCATTGAGCTAATGCAGCATAAAATTACCCTGATATAGAAATTAGGTTTGATTTCTTGGGTTTTTTTTATTATTATTAATTTGGTGTGGTTAAGGGAGCTTAAGAAGAATCTGATTTCCAGCTGTGGTGTACAGGAGAAAAAGAGTAATTTGGTTGCTGGTGGGGTGAGTGAGTGAATTTCTGGTCACCCATGAAAGGGCAAGGTTTGCTGCCACCAAACCCAGTCCTTGTGCTCCTCTTCAGTACCCATCCTTGCCATCTGATGTGACTGACCCAGCGGGAGTCCTGCACTGGGTACTCTTATTATCACTTAGCAGTAGCATTTGGGGTTGGCAAAAGAAGGCTTAAGTGAGATTTACTTAGTGGAAACTCAAGTTGTGATTTAATAGCTAAGGCAGGTCTTGTGTGGAGAGACAGATATAAAGGGGATTGTATCTGTAAAAAGAGAAAAATAACAAAAAAAAAGGATGTCAGTACCAAGCGAGAGCAAGGAAGATTAAAAAGTGTACTGTACATAAGCATTACAGACTTTAAAAATCTGTTTTCATTTAACTTATAAACCACTGTCCAGTTTAGATAATTACAAGATGCTTTGGGTTTTTGTAGCATTAGGGTTTGAGTCTTTGCTTTTACTTTTTGAAATAAAGCTTTTAAAGCTGTATGTAGCAAAGGTGTAGAGTGTATTAAGGTCACTTGCTAAGTAAAGAGAGTGCTCTGTGTTCAATGTACAGTAGGTGTGTGTGCTTGGGTAGCTGTATGCTTGGAAAAGCTATCAGAAGAAGGTCTGATAACATGTTTAGCTGTGTGAAAACCAGCTGTGTCCAAAGCCTGAATAAGTTAATTGTTCAAAAGGCAGAGCATTCCTGGCAGTTTTGCCAGCTTGAGCAGAGGTTGCTGAGGTCTCTGTGGAAAGCTTCCTTCCGGAGGAGGCAGGCTTGGTGTTCATGTAGCATCAAAACAGTAGGTCTCTGCCTCTCGTTGCCTGGTACTGCCCCGGCTTTGCACCTGCTCTGGTGCTTTATGGAGCCTTTGTGGCTGTTCAGGTTGAAAAATCTGCACAGAACTGCATGGGAAGAGCAATTTGAATGGCAGCAAGAACAAATCGTAGTCTTCTCAGGGTGGAAAGGTGCATCCGTGGGAACAGGGAAGATCAGGTCTTGTCCTCAGATCCATCCCCTTTCCCCCATGGTGCAACTCTGAGTATCTTAGTCTTGTTGATGTATCTACATATCACATTATGCAGATTGCAGATTCTCCAAAAGCCCTGGGTTGCTTGTACCCCTAGTTCTGTACCTGTGAAGGCAGCATTTAGCATTTGATTAATGTAATAGTATGCAGTGTAGACTGAGACTTTTGTGGCACAGAAATCTCTCTCTAGAATAGTTTGGGTGGCAGCAGATAGCATCCTGCGGCTCTTTTGCCAGGGAGATTGTATATTGTTTAATTTATCACAAGTGTTTCTATGTACAGGTAGTCAGATAACTCAGTATAGACATAAAAGGCTTTGTTTTTACTCTTCAGACACCATCCTGTCAAAACACTGCTGGATCACCAAATATATGGCTGATAACTTCTCTGGAGTTTTGATTTTTGATTCCTGATTCTTCATTAGCAGCAATCATTCATTTGCATAACTTGCAAAATATTGAAAGAAATTCTATATCCTAATGACTGATAACCTCAAGTGAGGAGACTGGGAGAAGGGAAAAAAGTGAACCGATACACACCAAGCATGAGGTCTTTTTTAATCAACATCAGGGAATATCAGGTCAGGCTTGTGATAAGAATTAAGTTCCTAATTCTAAGTGTATCCATAATGCCTTTCATCTGCGAAACACTTCCACAAATACTGATTAATATGAATTACAGCTTGGTGGTTACGAAAACAGGGCTGCGAAAGTCTGCGCAGATCGCTGATAACATAGAGTTCATGGGGTTTTTTTCTGAATTCAAGGCTTTGTATGAGATATTTCCCCTCCCTGCCCAAGTGCTTTGTGTTCCACAAATATAAACTCTGAAGCACATGCAGCAGTAGCTGCCCCGCTGCCATCACGTTCCCAGTGTGCTGTGTATCACGAGGCAGTGATGTTGTGTCCCCACCCTGAGCTCAACAGCAGCTCATCTTCTGGTGGCCTGGGTTTGGACAGTGACTAAGAGCAGCCTACTTTGACTGGGCTGTCCTCAGTTTGCATGTTGGTACTTCCTGTTTTAAAAACATGGAATGCTTAATGCCAACAAGTTAGATCTTCCAGGTGCCCCACAGGTGATGCTACAGCTGAAAAAACAGTGAGCCTGTCCTCATCTGAGGAGCCATGACCTTGCCTTCTTAGTTGTGACTTTAAAAAAGCACAAATAGTGTTACACATATTGTATCAGTCTTCTAGTCCCAAAAATGTAAAAAATTATAACCATGTCTCCATTTCAACCCTTTACCTTGAGTTATTGATCTTACTCCATTTTATGTAAAGCTAAATGCAAACTTTTAATTGTGCATGCATATATGCAGTATGCATTCTAGCTGCTGGTAACCATCTGCTGAAATAATTTAATGGAAACACTTCATTATCTGGAAATGGACTAAGTTGTGAGATTTAAATGCTTTTTATTGTGCTGACATTCCACCTGATGGCTGGCTTGCAGCTGACAGACTACTTTGAATGGATCTGTGAAAGCTGCCTACGAAAAGCAAGTTCATGTATTCTTTGTGGAAGTGGCATATGGAGCTGACTAAAAGGGATCCTCAGTTCCCCTGGAAAACTTGTGGGAGTTGACAAGTTGAAAAAATTTTGAAATCTCCACACAATTATCCAATTCTTGCTTAAAAATAGCCATGTACTCTCATGCTTCATATTATTCTCCTTACACAGGAAGGTGAGGGGAAAAGAGGAATGACAAACACTAAGCACATGAGTAAGAGATGTAAAGTCTCCTATTCCTTTGACATAAAAGGGCCAAGCTGCAGCAAGTGCCCCCACATGCTGCAGCAGCTCTTCCTCCTCATCGGTGCTGCACCAACAGGTGCAACTACAGGTGGCAGCTGCAAAGGGGGACTGCAAACCCTCACACCTACACTGCCAGTAATCATTTTTGGAGTGGTTTATTCCTTGCCTTCCAGTTGGGCTGTGGCAGTGTACTATGGAGAAATAGTAATATACCATGGTGTACATCTAACACACAATACCATATGGTCTACTGTGCTACTGCAGAAAGCTCTGATAAGTTGTTTTTCTTCTCCAATATATTGATGTATGGTCTTGCTGTAGTTCCTACATATTTTCTTGTTCACCTTTGGTGTTTTGAAAATGATGTTTAAATCAAATGGTGGTACAATGGTGGTACGCTTAATCTCTTCAGAAGTCAACTTGTCTATGCAAAGCTGATGGAGTTTTAGTAAGCAGGGAAAAAAAAATGAGAAGAATGAAACAAGCATAAAAAATGGATGGTACAGAATGCATTACTTGTTCTCCTCTTTGCTGGTTGTTATCTCCATTTAGCATTATGTCCATTCTGGCTTTTAACACTGTTTCTCCCTACTCCCTTATTTTTAGGGTTGGTCGACGGCCCATACTGCTCTTCTCTGTCATATTCATTTTGATATTTGGACTGACTGTGGCACTCTCAGTGAATGTGACCATGTTCAGCACACTCAGGTTTTTTGAGGGGTTTTGCCTGGCTGGAATAGTCCTCTCCCTGTACGCACTGCGTGAGTATGCCTTAATCACCCCTTCAAATGTGTCTTTATTGAGTATGGGGTTTCCTGTTCTTTGGCTGCCCATTTTCATCCAAACAGATCGAATCAGAATTGTACAGACTTAAAAAGCTTTAGCCTGAGTTTTGGTAAGAAAGTAGAGGTTTTGCAGCTACTTCTTTAGGTTTCTACAGAACAGCATGTAAAGCTGTTTGAGAGGTCATTTTAAGAACTATAAGGCATTTTGGGTTGGTTTGTTGTTACTTAAACCTAGAAGTTATCTGTGGCATGGCCATTGTGTAGTAGAAATGGATTTCACCTTGCAGTATTGAGCTCAGTAAGACATTCCCCACTTTTGCTGTCTCTAGGGATATGTATTCTGGCACTTCAGAAATTCCTCTGTCACTTACAGCAGGAGATCCCATGTCCCTGCCTCAGGATTGTAAAGTACAGCAAAAACACGTGAGAAGAGCCTGAAGTCCTTTTATCTTTGTTATTGTTGTTATTTTTGACTAGGTGTTTATGTGTATTTATTCGTTCTTGTCCAAATAATTACTGATGCAGCAGAACAGTCATGCACCCAAAAAAAATGGTCATACGTATTGCAATGGGAATTAGTTGTGTAAAAGAACTCCATCTGTCTTGAGTTTTTCTTAGTTAACCTTAATAATGTTTTAACTGACATCATCAGAACTTTATAGAGCTCTGTAGATATTTCCAGTTAGGTCTTCTAATAGTCTGTGGATGGAGCAGCTGACTTCTGTCCTCAGCTCTAGGCATCTTTTGGCTCTCTATAGCACAATGATGGGCTGTGGATAATGTGGGTGTCATGTAGGTCCTGTTGTCCACAGCTGCGTGTCCCTTCCAGCTGCCTGTGGGAGCATGACATGGTAACAAGGTGGTGCATGTTGTGGTAACCCCTTTGCCCATGGCTGTGAACAGCTTCTGGCTGGCTGTCCATGATACGGAGCACTGCCAACATTGTGCCTGCTGTGACATAGCCCAGAGATCCTCAGGACTCGTGCACAGCCCAGAGCTACCCAAGGAAAGGGTTGTGGAGCTCCTTTGCCCATGGTTGTGGGAAGCTCCTGGAAAAACCCGGGTGGGGTAGAGGCGAGACCTCTCTTACTGGCTCTGTAGAGCATTGGTAGCTCTCCCTCCAAGTGTGGAGGTAAGACACAACAGCAGCATCATGTTGTCATGCCCACGTCCCATCTGTGGCTTTCAAAGACAGGAGAAACAACCACAGCAACCATCCTCTGTCACCATGAGCAGTCTCAGCCTCCCTCCCTACAGCAATGCCAACCTGAACATCAGGAAATGCTTTTTCACTGTGAGGGTCACCAAGCACTGTTAGAGTTTGCCCAGAGAGGTTGTCGAGTCTCCATCCTTCGAGGTACTGAGAACTCATCTGGGCATTGTCCTGGGCAATCCACTCTGGGTGGCCTTGCTTGAGCAGAGGGTTGGATGAGGTGACCTCCAGAGGTTCCTGCCAACCTCATTCAGTCTGTGATTCCATGAAGTGCTTTACAGACTAAAAACCCTAACAGGATCCAGCAACCTCAAAGTGAGAATTTGTGTTGACCTTAATTGCTTTTTATTTCCCAAGTGTAAAGTTTTGTTGTGTTACATGTAGGGAGGTTGTATGTGTCTGATTCTTTAGCCACTCTTTGAGGTAATTACTCACAATGTCTAGTTTATGTCAAGTTTTAAAATATGTATTACAGCACATTTCTCTATCTATTACTTCTCCAGAACAAGTCCCAAAATTCTGTTTTTCATTTGACTTTTACTAGTGGGTTTTTGGGGGATGGAAAGACACAGTAATTACCTCTGTAAGGAGGAGACCTTCTTGCCTTTACAAGTACCTGAAAGGAGGCTGTAGCAAGATGGGAGTTGGTCTCTTATCCCAATTAACATGAGACAGAACAAGAAGAAATGAGCTCAAGTTATGCCAGGGGTGGTTTAGATTGGATATTAGGAAAATTTTCTTCACTGAAAGGATAATTCAACACTGGAATAGGCTGCTGGGCAAGGTGGTTGAGTCTCCATCCCTGGAGGTGTTTAAGACAACATACAAATGTGGTGCTTTGGAGCATGAAGGACATCAGGGTGCTGGAGCATGTCCTAAGAAGGGCAACGATGCTCTGTCTTGAGAACAAGTCTTATGAGGAGCAACTGAGGGAACTGGGGCTATTTAGTCTGAAGAAAAGGAGGATGAAGGGAGAGCTCATTGCCCTCTACACCTGAAAAGAGGTAGGCGCTGGTCTCTTCTCACAAGTAACTGGTGACAGAACAAGAGGAAATGGCCTCAAGCTGCTCCAGGGGAGGTTTAGGCTAGACATTAGGAGGAACTTTTTCACTGAAAGGGTTGTCAGACATTGGAACAGGCTGCCCAGGGAGGTGGTTGAGTCACCATCTCTGGAAGTGTTTAAAAGTCATCTAGATGTGGTTCTTGGGGCTATGGCTTAGTAGTGGACTTGGTAGAGTATGGTTAATGGTTGGACTCAATGATCTTAAATGTCTTTTTCAACCAGAATGATTCTGTGATGGCAACTGAAGATTTTCGTGGGGAAATGCCATCTAAATAAAAGTTTAGTTATGGACCTTCTGAGATCAGAGCGAGAGAGGGCATATGTCACCTTAGATCAGACAATAACTTGCCAGACAAAGCGTTCATTCAGCAAATGGGAGATGCTGGTTAGTTCATGCTCTGCTTGATCAAGAGCAAGGGTTTCAGTCTGGTATTTTTTTCCCCCCTCTATAATTCAAGTGTTTTCTATAACAGCTACATGTCAGTGTCTATTGCAAATGGCAGCTCTCTGGATAGACAATGCATGACTAGAGCTAGTAGGTGCTAGGAGAGTTCTGTGTGAAATTAGCTGCAGCCTGAACACCAGTGCACTTCCATGGAAGTGAGAAAATGTGAAAGATGCAGCACCTTCACCCTTGGTAAATCTTGTGACCACCTGACTGGGGAGGTGAGAGTACTAGATTTTTCTGTATTAAATGTTTTCATTTAAATAAATAAAAAAGTTGTTACCTTGGTGTAGAGTTGTGAGAGAGGTTTCATCCCTAAAATCCTAAGAGAATGGGAGGAGCAGGATTTTTTGTTGTTGGCTTTGATTTTAATGCTCATAATCTGTTAGGCTTCCTCTCAATTTAGATTTACCCTTTCTCTTTCTGCTGTATAGGTAGCATGCCATTGCACTCCTTTGTGAAGTCATCTTTTGTTTCACAGCCCCTCTTCCCTTTATCTTAATGGCCTTGATTTCCCCTGGAGGTCTGTTGCTCCTGAATTCCCAGCAGGCTGCCGTGAGTGGAACAATAGAAAGTGGAAAGTTTGATCTAATGACACAGTCATTAGCTGAAGTTTTCCAAGCTGCTGTGCAAAAGCAAACTATATAGGCTTGCAGAGCCTGCAAAGGTAATTAGCCTGCCACAGGGATCCTTTTACAGTGTTGAGCTTGCTAGTTGTGCTTGGATTTACGTCCTACCTAAGGGAAATTGTACATCAGTCCTGGATGCTTTGGGAGTGGGAAGAGCACTGAAGTACTGTCTTTAAAACAGTTACCAAGGTTGACCTGCCCTCACCATTCAAACCACACTCCCCTTAACAGCCTCACTCTGTTTTGCTACCCATCTGTCAAAAGGTGCAGCCCAGGGACAAGCCTCACCTTCGAGGCTGTGGACAACACGGAACCTGAGCTGCCTGTGCTCCTCTGTGGGCTTTCCTCACTGTTGTATTGAGCTTGCTTCTTGTGGCCTCCAAGTGCAGCCTCTTGCCTGGAGTTACTATGGTCTTACCTAAAGAAACCAGTTTGGGATGTTTGTTTGTTAAACTGAAAAGTTTTCCTGCAGCTGCTGTAGTTTTGTTGGAAAAGATGTTTCAGATGAAATTTCTAGTGAACCTGCAGGAAGAGACGTGCTTGGCACAGGTGGTAGTTCTTGTTGCAGAGGAGAAGTGAACCTGAGGCTTTTTCTCCTGCTTGCTGCGGGTCATTGCGTCATCTAGGACAATGGAAGGCAGTTAATCCTCTTCCACTGAACAAACACATGCAGCTTTGAAAGGCTTTTGTTTCATGCTGATGTGAGGGTCAGGGGGACCTCTACTTTTTCCCGAAGTGGTTTCCAGCCCGATATCCAACCTTCAATGGGTTCTTTTGCTCCTGAGCAGCTGGCAAGTGTCTTATGTGGCGAGGCACCAGCAAGGTCCTCAGGAAGCTCTCCCCATGAGGGCCCAGTGGCTCCCACTAAACCACACTTGGCAGTTATCTGATGCCCAGAGCTGGAGCTGTTTGCTGTGATATGATGGTTAGGTCCCCTGCTGTGTTTGCTGAGCAGCTTTCTGCAGAAATGGGCTGCCCCTTGTTGGAGCAGAGTGCTGGGAGTGAAGGCAAAACCTCCCAGAAGGAGAAACGGTGGAGGTGCCACGGAGCTCTCTGGCTGCAACGGTTGGAAGGGAACCTTTGGCCTGTAGAATATAGATGTAGAAAAGAGTGTAGATAGGGGGGCTGGAGGAGGACTGGTTGTTTAAGAGGAAGTAGGGGAAAAGCTGAGGAAGTTTGAGTTTACTGATTAGTGTGGAAAGCACCAAGGCCAGTTTTGTGAGGAGTTTGCTTTGGGCAAGAGTGAGGGAAAGAAGTGTGGGAGCCCTGGGCAAGGGCATGTGTGCCTGAACAATGCCTTAGCTGGTGTCTGTGGGCTCATACAGCTGTCAAGGTGTGTTGTTCCTACTGCAAAAAGCTCTGCTTGCTGCTTGCAACTCACATGGGGCACAGTACACTCATCAAATGTGGAAGTCGTCGGAGAAAGCAAGTGTGATTATCTGGAGGGTGGAGAGGATGTTGCTTCTGGGTCACTTTTGTCTCTCTGGGACATTGCCTCAGCCATGACCCCAGAGCAGCCTTTTTCTGTGTGCTTTGCAGAAGGCCAGATGCTGCAGCTGACTCAGCACGGGTCCCTTCCTCAGGACTTGCTTTCACCAGCTGACATGAGCTGATGCAAGAGGTCTC